TTGCTGCAACAGCTGCCTGTGTGATCATGGCAACAACAGAAATCAAAGCGAGAGAAATGCTACACAAGCAGATTTTATCTGTGATGCGTGGACACACAGCAGAGAACAGATAGATGAAGAGGGCTAGAGGATCATCAGCTTCAAACTTAGTAGACAGTTATCAGTGTTTACAATTTTGGTACAACAAGCTAATATCTGTTGCTTTAACATGTGAGTGTTAAAGTAAAAACACATAAACTGAACAGCCTTGATGGAAAATGTTTGTAGAGACATTTGCCACAGAAAACATCAGCTTCAATAATCCTGCTTTTTCTGTAAAAGCTTTGGAGCTCTGTGAAGTATCCCCTAAAGGGAAGATGCACAATTAAAGCAATGTGCACAGAGCAAACAGGATCCTGCAGAGCATTTCAGGCTTGTTGACACATTCCTTAAAGAGTCAGAGTAGGCCTCCAGGCTCGAAAGAAGAACTCATTTAAGCCCATGACCGATGGACCAGAGGTGGCTGTCAGTCAAGACTGCTAATCTGCAAGAGGTGGCCTCCACTGAATACAATATGTTGGCCCCCATCTGTAACTAAGTCTATCAATTTTTTCTGACTTGAACCAAATGTGGTACATGTATGATACATGAAGGAGCCAAAAGTAACAACTAGTTGACCAGAGTAGACCAGACAGCAGCATTTCCTCGTGAAAGTTGTGAACTGATCCGTGCATTTGCTACTGGCTTGTAGTCCTGCCAATAGTAAGCAAAACTAGCAAACATCTCATCACTGCAGGAGCAGGAAAGGAAAAAAAGCAAGAAAAAAATCTCTCTGGAGGCAGTTGTGCTGCAGCGTGAAGGGGAAATCTAGGAAATAACGGGAAGATGGTGCAACCATTGTTGCCGTAACTGAGGATCCTAATGGAAGCATGAGCTACCTAAAATATATGATCACTGAGTGATCAGAGAGGATTTCAAGCATTTTCAATTAGACTATAGCTCAGACTCCAAGGTTTAAATCTTAAATTGATGTGAAATAACCAGCCTTGTTTTTTGTGTTTCATTTACTTCTAAACTTTTAAACTAAGCAGCTCACTTTGAAAGACCCTTTATGTGACTCCCACA